CTCCGGGGCAACCAAGCCTCATGTTCGCTTCAGCTGCGTGGCTGCCGGCCGCCATCTTGGTTGGCAGTTAATTTGCATATCACCCTGATTAGCCAATGGGAAGTGTAGCGGAGGTATGGTTAAATACCATGTTTGTCTATTATTAGATAAGATTACTTCCTAAAAGTCCAACTTCTTATCACATGGGGTTAGGATTTCAACATTTGAATTTAATGGGGGAAGATAAACATTCAAACCACAGCAAATAGTAAAGAATTTTTAAATTAGATAATAGCTATTTGAGAGACCAGTAATCAGAAGAGATCCCTGACTTTTCAATAATTGAATACTTAAAATAACTTGGAATAATTACTAAAACCTAAAATCTATATTTATAATGATTTATTCAGTGATCACAGTTCAAATTTTACTATGTGTATGGTAGAAAATATACTTCCTATCAAAAAACAAAACTTTTTTATAAATAGGCAAGCATTTGCATTCTTTAGATCTCTGGGGTTGTTCTCCATTTAAAAAATCATTGACTTAGAATGATAGACTTGAAAGAAACCTCAGTGATTATCAAAAGCTTTGAAAACTTCTACTTCTCAACTTCTATTACTACATGCATATGCATGATTAGATATAATAACATATTCCTATTCACAGTAGGTTTTAAAATAGTTTTTGAGCAGATGGCTTTATTAACAAAAATCATAGGCATAATCTGATATATGAAAACATTTAAGGTTATATGGCAGGAATCTTAGATTTATTTCCAATTTTCCTTATAACATAAAACAAATATTCTTCTAGACATATTTAGGAATATTTCTAAATAAAAAATTATCTGCTTAAATATTAACTTTGATCAATAGTGATTGTCTCATATTCCTTGGTGAAAACAAACTGTATATACTGGGATGCAGAGTGCTTTTTAAGTGCACAATGTCACTTGATATAGGATAGAGCTATTTTCACTCTTAAAGGTCACTTTATTTCTTCGTGATTACTAAGGTATGCTTTCACATAAGATTAATTGATTATTATCTTTGAGTAGAATGCTTACCCTGGGAACTTTTCGCCTATCAAAGTGAAAAATCAAGATGCAGAATTGTGAATACTGGTATAGTAACAGTTGTGTAAAAAATGAAATAGGTTGGGTAGATGAAGAAAAAGCACATTAACTTGAATATACCTGAGGAAACAGCATAAAGGTGATATAACTAGTAGAAGTTGTGCAGCTGATAAATAATAGAGCGAGGACACAACTCCAAGTTTGCCAGATTAAAATGCTGTTAGCCATGCATTAGTTAAATTACTATGCCAACAGTTTATCTTTAGATAATTCAATAAAGGTAGACCTTTAGATAATTTATGTCTTGCAAATCACAATTTCTTATATGTCAGATATTTCCTTCCAGCAAAAGTAATTTGGGAAATTAGCTTATTTCAGTTTTTCAATGGTTATATTTATTCTTTTAGTCAACTACTATTTATTAAGCTCTAGGGGGAAACAATGCAAATTAAAACTATTTTTTTCTGAAAACCTTTTCCATATCAAAACCTTGTTGGACAGTTTCAAGTAGTCACCATGAGAAGTTTTGTCCTTTTTCTAGAGATGTGTCTATTATTTAAAACTAGTAGCCCAGTGCACAAAATTCATGCACATTAAAAGGGAATTAATTAAAGGAAATATTATAATATTGCTATTTTCCCTTTCTCTATAATAAGAATGTCAGAGATAAAAGAAAATTAGTAAAAGGTATATGAAAATAATATATAAATTTGTTAATAAATAAACAATCACAACATGATATAATAACAACAAAGACATGATATAAAAACAACATGATGTAAAAATAACATTGATACAAACAATGAGTGATAAATTGATTAAACTTACTCTAATATCTCTCTGTATACCACATTAAGAGTGAAAACACTTTCAGAGTGCTTGACTAATATCCCTTGTGACGAAATATTTACAACTTTAACTTTAACATCACATGCTCTTCAAACTCGAGAGAAAGCAACATATAACTGACCATGTGCAAAAACAAGTTCAGGTAGGAATATTCCTACTCTGTCTAGAGTTTGTCCTTGTGATTTATTAATAGTCATCGCAAATGCTGGCATCACAGGAAACTGTCTTCAAATTAATTTAAATGGGAGCCCAGTGTCAGATGGGGACAATTCAATTCTTGGAATCAGAACAACCTCTCCTTCTGCAGATCCTGTTAATACTTCAGCTTCGATAATGTTGGGTTGCAATCTTTTAATAATAAATCTAGTACCATTACAAAGACCCCATTTACTATTAAGATTTCTCAGTAGCATGATGATTGCACCCACTTTCAATTTTAATTTATGACATGGCATTCCCAAAGGAGTAATGCTATTAAGAAATTCGATGGGAAAATTTTCCTTTTCAGCATCATCTGTTGAATCAATGGAATCATCACTCAAATACGTGTGAAAATCTCCATTGAGTATATCCAAAATTTCGCCATTTAATTTTTGAACGTGCTCATTTTTTGGACAAAGAATCTCATGTTTAGATATATTTTTAATATTATCTATAGATATAGTATTTCCAAAGGTAACTTCAGTAATAGATGCATTACAAATCATTTCACAGGGGATTTCAGTAATATCCATTGCCCATCTCCGAGTTTTACTAACCATTCACTATAAGCAGAATCCTCTGATCTCATATTTGTTTTGAGACAACTTTCTGAAACATCACCAAACATTATAGTACTTTAAACTCATTTGTACTATGGCCGATCGCATAGCATGTGGCACAATACTGAGACATTGTCGAAAATTCCCTCGGAGAAGGAGAACTTTCCCACCAAATGCAACATTCAAATTCATAATTTCTCTTAGTAATCTGCCTCAGGGCGCTCCAGGTGCTCTGAGGGCGGGTTCCTCCCTCAGGCCTCATCCTCACCAGAAACAGCTTGGGGAGGGTGCCTCAGGGCCAGTGGGACTGATGAAAGTGGGGGAGGTGGCAGGGAGGTGGTGTCTGCGCTTCTGATCATTTGCACACTCCTGCGGGCCATCAGAAGCCTCTGGCAGCTATCACCACAGCAACCCAGGACTCAGTGCCTTTGCGTTCTGAGGGAAGGTTCCCCCCCGCAGGCCTCACTGGAAATAGCTCAGGGAGGGCGCCTCAGGATTGGTGGTACTGATGGAAGTTGGGGGGGGGGGGGCGCGGGGGCATGGAGTTAGTGCCTGCGCTTCTGATCACTTGCACACTGTGTTTTATACCACAACCTGTGGCATTGACTGTGAAGGTCGCCACGGCAACCCAGCGCTGACTGCAGGACTGACTCTGGTTGGTCGAGCCTCTGGTCATTACTGACCCAGGATTTTTATATATTAGGATATTGGTAATGATTTTCTATCAGCATTTTCTTCATAGTCTTCCTATTAATCTTCACCAAATTTTAATTGTTTGCTTTTCGCATATATATTCTAGTTTTGGAAACAACTAAACATCTAATCATAAAGGCAAAAATATAGGTTACATGGTCATGTTAAATAATTATATTTTCTTAGGGTTACCATCCACCCTGTCTTATTAATTAAGATTATAAATTAAAGTATGATGGGCTGCTTCTCTGACTTCTAAAGTAAAAATAACAGCAATTCCATGAAATAATTTCATTTTTTTCTAGCAACAACTGGGCAGAATTCTTGGAGTATCATTTCTAAAGCCTCCTGATCCAGCTTTGAAGAGAAGCACATGTGTTTAATCACTTTTTAAAACTGACAGTCTCATTGGTTTGTAGACAAGCCTTGTACACTACTTGGTCTGTATCTGAAAAGGGTATAAGATACAGTATAACAGAAGATGAACTAGAGAAAGAAAAACTGCCAAAGTGATGGCAGTTTGAGTTGTTTGAGAGAATGTTCACACAAATACCGTGAGGCATTTTTTACTACTTTCTGTGTGTATTTATGTTGTTCCTTGTGTTTGGTGTGGTCTCACTCTCTCTGCCCAACTCTTATGCCACTTTTATCCAACATTACTGGACTCTGTTACTGTAATGAAGCTGGGTCATTTAAATTATGCAATATAGTGTAATTATTTGAGATATGCCTTTCTCTCTTAGATATAAGCAACTTAAAGCAGATATTGTATGTTTCATGTATGTTTGTATCCCTGAATGTTCATCATAATATCAAATGAGTGAATAAATGAATACATTAACAGAAGAGATTCTGTATAAAAGAAATTTATTTATAGGAGTGGCATGCAATTGTTTATGTAGTTCTATAAGTAATAAAATGGGACCTATACTTTAGTGAGAAAGGAAAAAAGGAAGAATTTTTTAAAAAGAGTCACCAAATTTTTAAAAATATATTTTTATTGATTTCAGAGAGGAAGGGAGAGGGAGAGAGAGAAACATCGACAATGAGAGAGAATCATTGACCGGCTGCCTCCTGCATGCCCCCTAATGGGGATGGAGCCTGCCTGCAACCAAGGCATGTGCCCTTGACTGGAATCGAGCTCGGGACCCTTCAGTCCGAAGGCCGATGCTCTATGCACTGAGCCAAACAAGCTAGGGCAAGAGTCAAGAAATTTTAATTACAAATGAACAGAGAATATTTTATGCATTGAGTTTGTCTTATCAAAGTGGAATTTTGATAGAAGGAAGATGTTAAATAAACTAAAATGTGTATGAAGCTCATGTAAACTATATAATTCTTACACTTGTGGAAATGTTAAGCTCTGAAAGGCCAACAATCATATGTTTTATATTTTGTAGAAAGATGTTTTATCATATAAATTAATAAGAAATGGTATTAATTTTAGTATTTTCCTTATTAAATACTATCATTTTTAATTTAAAATTTTACAGATACCTGTAGAATATTGGACACACAGATCCAGGATCCGTAAGACTTTTCCACCTTGAATCAAGGATTTAGTTGATATCCTCCTGTCTTTTCTTCATATCAACTAAATTATTTTTTAAAAGAATTAACAAATTTGCCATAAGAGAATTTAAGAAAAATAATACAACCCACACTCTCTAATGCCTAAGAATAGCAAGATGGTAAAAAAAGAATTAGAAGATGAAGTTATTGAATCTGCCAAAGACCTTCTTTCCAATGAAGATGCAGCTGATGATGCTTTTAAGAAAAGTGAACTAATTGTTGATGTCCAAAAAGAGAACCATACAGATGCTAAAGTATCTAACATCAAAGATGAAAGACAAGGTTGGAAGAATAGGCTACAATACATCCTTGCCCAAGTTGGATTTTCTGTAGGTCTAGGAAATGTGTGGCGATTCCCATACCTATGTCAGAAGAATGGGGGTGGTAAGTTTTATTTTTTTAAGTGATACATTGCTGAATAGATTTCAATTGATTATCTCAAATAGCTGCTGTTGTTGCTGGAGTCTCAGTAGTTTAGAAACTATGAATTTTATTATAAAGCTAGGGAGATTCCTTTGTTGAAAATGAGTTTCACTGTTTTCAGAATAGGTTTCCATAGGAGCAGATGGCTTGCTATGAATACACAAGGATTGCTTTAAAGGTAATACATTCTCAGATTCTTTCTGTGGATTCTATTAAAAAATTTCTAAATTACTGACTTTTTAAACAAATGTTGCATCTCTTGTGCCTGTCGGTTATTCTCTTTGGAAAAAACTGGTTTCTGGTATAAGGCAATATTTGTGAAGACAAAACTTTCTTTCTATGACTTATTAAATCTGAATTTTTCAAGTTGTTTTACTCTCCATAAAAACAAAAATTACATATCATTTAGAATGATTATAGTCTTCTAATGCTGACCAGAACTTTAAAGATTTCAGTAGAAGGGATTTAATGGGATCCTTTACAATAAAGAGTAATATGCAAATTGACCATCACTCCCTCACAAAGATGGCTGCCTATGACCAGGCGGGCAGGGGCTTAGTGAGGGATGACCAAACGACTGAACAGCAGACTGCATGGGGCAATCAGGCTGACAGGGGGGTTAGTGAGGGATGACCAAATGACTGAACAGCATGCTGCGTGGGGCAACCAGGCTGGCGGGGGTTGGGGGGCCATGACGGGTGACCAGGCTGGCATGGGGCCAGTAAGAGGCGACCAGGCCAGCAGGAGGGCAGTTAGGGGTGACCAGGCTAGCAGGGGCATTTGGGGGTGATTAGGCTGGCGGGGGGGGCAGTTAGGGGCTACCAGGCCAGCAGAGGGGGCCAGTTGTGGGTGCCAGGCTGGTGGGGGGGCTGTTAGGAGCGACCAGGCAGGCAGGCAGGTGAGCAATTAGGAGCCGGTGGTCCAGGATTGTGAGAGGGATATCCAACTGTAGGTTAGGCCCAATCCTGGCAGTCGGATATCCCCCAAAGAGTCCCGGATTGGAGAGGGTTCAGGCTGGGCTGTGGGGGACCCCCCCATGCATAAATTTTGTGCACCAGGCCTCTAGTAATTAATATTATACCAGTCATTCTTTATCCTTAAATATCATACATATTTGGTTCCCAATTCTGTAGTATTTGGGGGACAATGTTTTGTTTTAAAGAAAACTTTAAAGAAATTAGAATCCTTAGTTTTAAACAAAAATATATACATCAGCATGATACTGTAGTTTTTTGTATTTGTGCATATAAATACCAGGGGTTATTTAGCAAGTATTTCTTAAAAATTAAGGGGGGTGGACACATACAAAGGAATAGATTGTTTGTGTAGGACATAATCTTTATAGTACACCAAAGTCAAACTGAATGTTTACTAACATTTAGTTTGAAGCTTTATTACTTATATACATGGAAGTTGTTAAAATAAGCGTGGCTAAAAACTAAATATTTTATGTGCCTCATTTCAGTACCCAAAGGATAGAAAGAATATTTTAGTATTTGAGTCTAGTTTGTGATAGTTTTGTTGACTGAACAAATATTTTTAATTTTTATGTGATTGCCACCTACAAATCAAATGAAATAATATAACCATTCAATATGGAATTTCTTCTTAGCCACTAAAGATAAAAGTGTTATGGTGACAAAATAAGGTTTAAAATCTTGCTTAGTTAATTCAACCAGGCACAAAATCACAGGTTTGAAAAAACTAGCCTGTTTGACAAATCTTCCTGAGAGGTCGGAATCAATACATAGTCGGTGATCCACTACAGATCACATCATTCCACTGAAATTGTGAGCTCCTTAGCGACTCGGTAACATCACATTATTTATCAAATCAGCTATAAGCAGCTGTGCACTACCCTGCTTTGCGTTTCTTACAAATCACTTCATTTGTCATGACTTTGAGAAGATGAAATCTAATTTTCAGACCTCTCCCCTTATAAACCTTATTCATACTGTAAAGGAAGAAAGTTTTCTTGACTGAAGTGTCAGGTTGCCTTCCATTTAATACAATTTTTGTCTTGATGGAGAGCTGACAAAGAATTTCGTATTTAGTAATTAGCAAAGTGGCTCTTCTTTCTAATTTTCATGTGAAAGTAGTCAAAATGCGCTTCCTAATATTGTTTCCTTTCTTCAAATCACAAATACTAGAGAGTGATATTACAAAATACCAGTGAACTTCTCTCATTTCAAGATGGCTGTTAGAGTACAAAAGATTTTGCTCAATATGCAGTATAGCTTTGAGCCTTCTAGGTACTCAAGTGGTATCTTCTGGCTGCTGAGTCAAAGAGCCTCGCTACCCAAATCTTACTTATTCATTATTTGAGGCACTTTATGAATAATATGAATAAAAAGTAATAAACCTAATGTAAGTTGATTTATCTGAAAATATACTTAAAGCACAATGGTTAAGCTTAATAAGTGGTATAACATAGAAGCTACCAGCTCATAGTTTGAAATCAATTTGACTATGAATCCTAGCTCAGTGGTTGGCAAACTGTGGCCCTCGAGCCACATGCGGCTCTTTGGCCCCTTGAGTGTGGCTCTTCCACAAAATACCAACTTCTGCGCATGGGGAATGAAGTTTCAATCACACTGTACATGCGCGCCCACACGTGGTATTTTGTGGAAGAGCCACGCTCAAGGGGCCAAAGAGCCGCATGTGGCTCGCGAGCCGCAGTTTGCCAACCACTGGAGCTCTTTCGGACACTAGCCATGTGATCTTTTATAAGTTATTGTACTTTTTCTGGCTTATTTCCCACACCTATAAAATGAGGAAAATAATAGTACTTATGGCACTTACCCATTGGATTCTTATAAGGAATAAATGAGTAACTAACTACATGTACCTGACAAATGGTAAATAGTCATATTTTAGCCATGACTATTTTTAATATTAGATTAAAATAATCTAATATTTTTAATATTAGATTAATTTGAGTTAGAGAAAAAAGCTAAGTATCTAATATAATGTCTTGCATACATAACTGAGGAAAAATTTCCAATGAGTCCAGTCTTAATTAATTCTCTTTTTTTCTCCCCTGGTCATTCACTCACACATAAACCCATTCATATTCTAGGATTTGATGCAGGTGTTAAAATGCACTTTCATTTCTTTTGGAAACATTTTCAGGTTATTAGTGTCTGAATGTTACAAATCATTTTAGAATTAGAAATTTGGTAGTTCTGTTTTATAAGCTATGCATCCATGCTTTACATTATTTATTCCTTTGAACAATCAATTCAAGTCCAAAAGACTAAAAGTCAGCCATAATACAGTAAAGATCATTGACCACTGTATTAGGGAAAATTCTTGCATATGGTCATTATTTCAGCATTAGATAAATGTTGAGATAAATAATTTGAAAAAATATTAATATTTAACTTTTCATCTGAATACCTGAACAATTTGTACAGCTTCCTAAATCTATTTAATACAACTTAACATTTTTAAAAATTGGAAGATGTAATAAATGGCCTTTTATTTAAAAAGGGAATTGGTACAATTGATTGCATAACTCACCTGACAGTATCTGGTTGGACAAAACTCCAATAAGAAATTTGAATGTAGGTCTTACAGGTTATTTAAGGAATGATTTGTATACATATTCTCATGTAGAAGTGAGTATAGGTTTCACATTTAACTTTACCAATTAACTGTCTAATATTAACTATGTCAAATGGTACATTTAAAAATCACTATTTATATATATCTTAATTTGCGATTTAGCTGTAGCATATTTTTTAAGCATAGAAACTCTACTAAAAGGATAATAGCATATATTTTATAATAGACTAGTGGTCCGGTGCACAAAATTCGTGCAGGGTGGGGGGGGCAGTGTCCCTCAGCCTGGCCTGCACTCTCTCCAATCTGGGACCCTATGGACATCCCTCTCACAATCTGGGACTGCTGGCTCCTAACCGCTTGCCTGCCTGCTTGCCTGATCACCCCCTAACTGCTCCCCTGCCGGCCGATCTCCCCCAACTGCCCTCCACTGTCACAACCCGCCTCCTCTGCTGGGACCCACCTCCTCTGTGTGAGGTGGCGGAGATGACGGAACTGGCCTCCTCTGTGCTATGCGGAGCGGCCGCCAGGCCCCACCACCACTGTGTGCGTGGCCATCTTGTGGTGGCCATCTTGTGACAACATCATGTGTGAAGGCCACCTAAGCTTTTATTAGTATAGATAGTATAGATGGTGGCCATCTTGTGGTGGCCATCTTGTGATGACGTCACGCGCGAGGGCCCCCTAAGCTTTTATTAGTATAGATATGAAATGTCTTTGTTTCTGTCAATCTCACCACCCCATCACAGAATTTTGGAAAATAAAAAATTGCTTGTTTCCTAAAGTGTACTTTTTATATGAAGTATATATAGGGAAAATGACATTTCTCTGTGTTAGAGGTTATTTTATTTTATTATATTTTTATTTGAAGCAGCCATTTCTTCTCCTTTGTTGTTATTTAAGAAGAAGAGTCAGTTTTAGTAATATAAAATTTCATTCATTTTAATTTATCTGATTTGCAGTACTTGATTTATATCAATAGATGAATTTGAACAAAATTTAATAAAGTACTTCATAAATATTGTATGAATAAGATTTTTATGATGCCTGGCTGGTGTGGCTCAGTGTTTGAGTGTCAACCTATGAAACAGGAGGTCACGATTCCATCCCTGGTCAGGGCACATGCCCAGGTTGCAGGCTCAATCCCCAGTGGGGGGCATGCAGAAGGCAGCCAATCATTGATTCTCTGTCATCATTGATGTTTATATCGCTCTCTCCCTCTCTCTTCCTCACTGAAACCAATAAAAATAATATTTTTTTAAAAAAAGATTTCATGAGTTTGTGAAACCTACTTGAGAAAATAATTAATGTTAAGGAGACAATTATTTTATGGAAAAGTAAGTTGTTTACCCTTTCATTAAAATGAAACCAAGCTATTCATTGATATACTTACTTTTATCATAATTATTTTTTATCAGAAAGTCTTTGTAGCAGACAAATTGAGGTTTCAAATACTAGAAAGTTTAAAGTAATGAAATTGCATTTTCTTTAAAGTCCTTTATATTTATTATATATAGAAGTTCAAATATCATCTTTTATGAGATAATGAGAATTAGTGTATTCTCTACTGTGACTGTTAAAAATATAATCTATTTTATTTGTTCTTGTTTCTGTAGGTGCATATCTTTTGCCATTTTTTCTATTGCTTATGATAGTAGGTATTCCACTTTTTTTTCTGGAACTTGCTCTGGGGCAAAGAATTCGACGAGGAAGCATTGGTGTGTGGAATTACATAAGCCCTAAATTGGGTGGTATTGGATTTACAAGTTGTATAGTAAGTTTCCTGATACAGTATATGCCATAAAATTTTTATAATGTTTGGATTTATATTATTTGTATTTAAATAAAATATTTATGTATTTCTACTGAACTGTTTAATTATCTTTTAAAAACACTATAGGAGATTTTACTAATACACAAAACAAGATGAAATATATTAATATAGTTCAATCTTATTACTGCATGTTCTTAAGACCTGTGAGAGACTTTTTTTCAGAAAAGATAATGTGTTTTAAATGAAAATAAAATGAATAAGATTTTTAAAATGTTAAATGGGGTCATATACATATTATCCCATTGTTTCAAAGGAAGGGGCATCAGAGGTTTAATGTAACCACACTATTTTATTTTGCAGGTGAGCTTGTTTGTGGCTCTCTACTACAATGTCATCATTGGCTGGAGTGTGTTTTATTTTTCTCAGTCTTTTCAGTTTCCTCTACCTTGGGATAACTGTCCTTTGGTGAAAAATGCTACCCATACTTGTAAGACATGGCCAATATAATGTTTTTATATTTAATGATTATAAAGTTGGTAAAGGAATGAGCTTTCAAGATTTTTAAAAATAATGTAGAAAAAATTATTATCATAACAACTTTCCTCACATTTAGGATTGCCATACTCAGAGAGGTAGAACTTGGGCACCATCTAAGTTTACTAACTCTTCCCAAGTTACTTCTTCTCAGTTAAGCATAGTTGGTGTACAATATATTAGTAGTTATAATAGTTTCAGGTGTACAATGTGGTGACTTGATATCTCTATAAGTTACAATGTAATAACCCCACTAATTCTAGTAATCATCTGTTACTGTGCAAACCTTTCACAATATTATTGACTACATTCTCCTTCTCGAGTCGTTTTGTTGTGCCCCATGATATTAGGGTGAAATATTGTTAACTTTGACAGCCTTTAATTTTGTACACCTCTTTTGATGCCTTATAGTTTTTGTTAAAATAAAACAAAGGACAAAAAAAGTACTATTGAAGTAATTGTTTTATTTCATAGTTTTTCTATCATTTATTTTTATATCCTAGAATATAATAAAGAACATTTCCTTATAATGATGTCAAGTAAATATAGAATATGCCTAAAATTTTCTTGTAGCCACAATTTAAAAATAAACAGGTGAAATATTTTATTTAATCCTATGTATCCCAAAATGTTAACATTTCAACGTATAATTAATATAAAGTTATTAATGTAATAATTTGCATTATATTTCTCATATTAAGTCTCCAAAATTTTCTTTGTATTGTATATTACAAGACAGGTCATTTCGGGCTAGCTTATTGCAAAAGTCACATATGGTCAGCCACCCGTGCATTTGACACCTGTGCCCCAGTAAGATAATTCTGGGAGTGGAAGGGGCTATAAATTTGATATGTTTTCCTTACTTTGATAAAAAGTTCATGTGTTTTTATTAATAATTGTGTGATAAGAAATATCAAAGAGGATACATGTCTGTTGATATTTCACTTCTTCTGCAGTTGAGTTTTTATTGTGAATTTAAATGCTTCTGTAGAATAGTAATACTTTTCTAGAAAATGTTGAGAATTGATTTATAGCCTTATTGGGAAAAAATTCTTATTACTCTTTATAATCTGAAATTACTGTGTTATCTTTCTTTCTACAGTGGTAGAGCCAGAATGTGAAAAAAGTTCTGACACCACCTATTACTGGTACAGAAAAGCACTGGATATTTCCAGTTCCATTTCTGAAAGCGGGGGCTTAAACTGGAAGATGACCATCAGCTTGCTGGTTGCCTGGGCCATTGTTTGCTTCGCTATGATCAAAGGCATTCAGTCTTCTGAAAAAGTTAGTGTGTTAGAGACCCTCCTGATTCTGCAATCTCTGTGGGCAAATTGCAAGTAGCGCTTTGTTCTACATAGTTAATTAAAGATTGATAAAAAGTGGTGCTTTTATGATATGTTTACATTAATAAAACGACATAAGCAAAGAGATAAGTGTTTTATACTGAAATATAAAGTAATTTATAATCTTTTATTTCATCAAGAGTTTTGAAATTTTTTGTCAATACCATTTTTTTCTATTTATTGAGTTTACCCTAATATTTTGATTCTCCGATTATCAGTCAGTTCCAAACATGGAAATCGGGGAAAGTGGTAGAATAAAGAATTTTTTCATTTTAGTTGTCTTATATTATTCTAAGGAATGCTTGCATAAGATATCTTAATATGGTCTCTAGTGTGGAGGGTTTCTTAAAGATCTGAGCAGCACTAGGTAAATTATAAATTATCATAATTATAAATTATTATGATAATCTCAACAACCCACTCAGAGTAAATCTAAAAGACTAAAGGGCGCGCCTTCCAGTGCAAATGGAAAATGTTAAGTGGCTGTGGTTGAAAAAGGCATTAAGTGAATTCTAGAAACTTAGAATTCTTTTTTTTTAAGAATACATTAGTAAAGTAATTGTTATTCACTCTTTTGCTTTCATATTGCATTTTTTCATTATTACTGTCATTGTTTTAATGCTCTTATATCTCTTGGATGGACCATAGCAAGAATTTATTATTGATTCTTCTTTGCCTTTAATAATCTATTTCTAATATTTTTTTCTTTCCAAAGCATAGATCTGATTGTATATCTTTCCAGGCTAATATATTACCAATCACCAGCATATACTAGAAGTGGAGATAATAGTAGTAGTAGTAATAAATGATGATAGTGAAGGTGATTCCCACAATGATCAGAGCAAGAACAATAACAGAAGCTAATATTTATTGCAAGTGCTTTTTGCTCTAGGAAATGTGTTAGGTACTTTATATATTTTATCCCATTGAATTCTAAAGAAAACTCTAAGAAGTAATTACTATTCTCAGGCCTTCTTTACAGATATAAAATAATTTTGAGAAATTAGGTAATTTCCCTAAAGAATCGTGGCTAGTAATTGCTACCTGGAGTAAAACCCAGCTCTGTGTAAATCTAGAGCCCATATTATTTAATTGCAACCCTATAATGCCTCTCACTGCCATATTTTTTTACATCATATAGTTAAGATTTTTAGGTCAGAAGTCTACGTAATTCATCTTTGCTTCCTGTTACTTCATCTTAAATTAAAAATGTTTGATGATTTTAACTTGTAAATCACAACTAATTTCATATTTACCTTCCTGCTGGAACTCCCACACCATTTTTCCTTTGGAAAAATCAATGTGATAAATAACACATCTAAATATCTTTTCATCTTTTTCTGAGTGTCAATATACAATTAAATAAGTTCAATTAATTGGTTCAATTTGGTGTCTTCTACCATTCTGAGACACATTGCAGTCATATTTCAAATAAAGGGATCGATTCTTAAGTCACATCTAAGCACATTTACATGTTTCTTAAGATAATGTCATTTGGTAGAAAGAGAACCAAAAGTGGTTAGCCAGAGAAGTAAAAAAAATCTTTGTGCTTGAGTCTTACTGCCACATTTTGTTTCTTTTTAATCTGAGTGTGTCTTATCATTATTTTTTTAAAAAATTCATCCTTTTCTTATCACAAAATTTTGTGGTTATTTTTCTTATTCATACAATATAACTTTAGAAAATTTTAATATAAACTTATATATCATATATAATTTATTATTTAAATTAGAAGGTTTCAGTGGCTTTGGGGCAATATTTGAATAAATAATTCAGTAGTCACAGATGAGGAAAAAGCTGTAATTTGAGCAAAGATATGAAAATTGAAATTGTTATAATTCCTCAGTCTGAAACAAGTTAAACTTAATAGAGAAATGTGTGCCAGGGATAAATATAAAGCTCTCTGTTTGCCTGTAAAACAAAAAGAGCCTCCAAATAAATAATCACACAAGTACAGGATAGAGAAACATAATTTATGGGCAATATGGTTTAAAGGAAGTATATGAAAATACCATTTAGAGAATTTAGCAGTTAAAAGAAGAATGTGAGTCAACTTGCATTAGGCTTTGTCAACACACACACACACACACACACACACACACACACACACACCCCACAAGGACTGACTAGAAACTTCATGAGATAAAAGAAGAGTATGATAATCAGCTGATCCATGCCTGTAATACTGGATCAGCTGATCCATGCCTGTAATACTGGATTTTACTGAAATCTTTATTTCTCCCTGTATCGTGGAGAGAAATTTCAACCCTGTGATCGCAATCTTCACCTCGCTGAATAAAAAGAAGAATAAGGCTTAATCCGTGCTACAGAGAACAGAACTATGGTCAAATAGTGTGAATTACGGAGAATGGTGGGGTAGTGATACATCCTCAAATAAAGGAAGACTTTTCAGGAATCAAGCCTGATAACAAGGAAACGAGTTCTCTCAGTGAGTGTGAGCATGTCCATTTGTTACGGTCTCTGTTAAGGGGATACCTGCCCCAAGATGAAGTATGCAAATGAGAAGTTCTAATTTTTCTTCTAACTCTAAGTTAATACTTTTTGGCCAATACTACTTTGCCATTATTTCCTACTACTATGCTAAGGACTTGGTGTACATTAGCATGTGTAAATCTTTCTGTCAGTCAGGTGATTCGCATCTACACTAATAAAAGACAAAGATGCTAATTGACCATACCTTCGCTATGCCTCAAGCCACGCCCACCAGCCAATCATAGCGACTATATGCAAATTAACCCAACCAAGATGGCGGCCGGCAGCCACGGAGCTAGAGCAAGCAGGAGGCTTGGTTGCCTGGGCGATGGAGGAAGCCAAGCTTCCCGCCTACCCTGAGCTGGCTGTTGCCTTCGCTCATGGCAACAAAGTTTCAATTATAGAAGACAAATAAATCCCAGATACCTGCTTCCAGCCAGCCTCCACTGGGAGCTTGGGTGGCTGGGGGCCGTGGCCAGCCTGCAAACAGCTATCAGCCCCTCACCCAGGATGGCCACACCCTCATGGGGTGAGGGTTCCCGATGGGGGCTTAGCCAGCCTGAAAACTGCCCTCAGCCCCTCAACTAGACTGGCCAGGCACCCCAGCAGGACCCCCCACCATGAAGGGGCTGTGACCAGCCTGAAAACTGCCATCAGCCACTCACCCAGACTGGCCAGGCACCCCAGAAGGACCACCCCACCCTGAAGGGGGTGTGGCCAGCCTGAAAACAGCCCTCAGACTGGCCAGGCACCCCAGCAGGACCCCCCCCACCCCCACCCTGAAGGGGGTGTGGGCAGCCTGCAAACAGCCATCAGCCCCTCACCCAGGCTGGCCAGGCACTCCTATATAATAAAAGGGTAATATGCAAATTGACCCTAACAGCAGAACGACTGGGAATGACTGGTCACTATGACACACATTGACCACCAGGGGGCAGATGCTCGATGCAGGAGCTTCCCCATGGTGGTCAGTGTGCTCCCACAGGGGGAGCTCTGCTCAGCCACAAGCCAGGCTGACGGCTGCCATTACACTGGTGATGGTGGGAGCCTCTCCCGCCTCCTCAGCAGCACTAAGGATGTCCGACTGCAGCTTAGGCCTGCTCTCCTCTGGCAAGTGGACATCCCCCGAGGGCTCCCAGGCTGCCAGAGGGAGGTCTAATGGCCAGCTTAGGCCCAATCCCCTGGGAAGCGGGCCTAAGCCTGCATGTGGTCATTTCCTGAGGGGTCCCAAACTGCAAGAGGGCACAGGCTGGGGTGAGGGATTTTTGTGCACTGGGCGTCTAGTGGTTTTATAAAACCTCATTTTCCTGCAAAATTAGCATGTTTAAGGAGAACAAATGTCCAGAATTGGCTATAAAGTCCTCAAAGAAAATGACTTTCTCAAAGTGTGTTTATAATAAGCATTTTAATATTAAAAAAAACTAACAAAATTATTTCGTATGTTTTATGGTCTTCAGTGGTTCGGTGGAATGGAAATATTTTCAGACAATGTGTTTGTTGATAAACTAATCTCTTACTGAAAGGCATTCCAGTTGTCAAGATCCAGAGGGTCTTAAAATTAGCCAAAGAAACATTTCACTGTTTCATTTCTCAGTTCTTAAAAGTGTTTATTTTCTGGACGAGGTAGTCAGTCATTCATCAAATCATTTAATGCATATATATTGATTGAGCACCTACTATGTGTCAGGCACTGACCTTGTTCTGAAGATAGAGGGATGAACAAGGCAGACAAAACACCTTCCCTCATGAAATGTCCAGTCTAGTGGCAGAGGAAGACAATAAACATATTTGAAAAATAATTTCATTTAGCAATGAATAAAATAAAGTGTTGTAAGGAGAATGTGTAGACTTTTACATATAGAGAGGTAGATGAACCTATTTTTAATAATAGTAGGTATCTATTTGGTATAAGATTATACCCATATGATTAAAGAAATAATTTGAGTTTAAAAACTCAAATGGTAGAAGACACCAAATTGAACCAATTAATTGAACTTATTTAATTGTATATTGACATTCATCTGGACACCTCTGTAAAGAGCTGGCTTCGGATTCATCTTAAATCTCAGAATTTAATAATTAATATTTTGGTGTGTGTGTGTTTTACCTGTGACCTACTTAATACTACTTACATGTTTAAATTTTTGGTCATTATTTTTCTCCGTGTCACATTAAATATAATTTTTTAAAATATATTTTTATTGATTTCAGAGAGGAAGGGAGAGGAAGAGAGAGATAGAGACATCAATGATGAGAGGGAATCATCGATCGGCTGCCTCCTGCATGTTGGACCGATTGCCCTTGACCGGAATCAAATCTGGGACCCTTTGGTCCGCAGGTCAACACTCTATCCACTGAGCCAAACTGGCCAGGGCTAAATATAAAGTTTTATTGTTCATTTTAGGAAGCTATGCTAGAGTCTTTTCATTGAATCCAAATCAGGGTCTTTAAGAACTCAAATACTTGTTGAACTAGTAAATGAAAATTGAAATGATCTGACAATATAATTAGTTCATAATTTTAAAAATATTTCAGAATAAAGATGAGTTTAATTTTTATGGAATGTATGCATAAAGGAAAACTTAACTTTGTATAAATTCTGTACATTTTTTGAGTATTTACTATATGTTAGGAATTAACAAATATGAAAATATGAATAGGGCACAGTTTTGTCCTCATGGAACCCATAATTTAATGGGTGAGATAGATAATTACAGCAGAATAAATGCAGTAATAGAGGTATATAAAAAATGCACGATGGGCTATGGCTGGGTAGCTCAGTTGGTTAAGAATGTTATCCCAATACGTCAAGGTTGTGGGTTCAATCCCCTGTCAGGGTACATACAAGAATCAATCAATGAATGCATAAATATGTGGAACAACAAAACATGATCTCTCACTCTTTAAAACCAATAAATATTTTTTAAAAAAATCAATGAATGCATAAATAAGTTGAACAACAAATTGATCTCTTTCTCTCTCTCTTTCTCTCTGTCTCTCTCTCTTTCAAATCAACAAATAAAAAAATTTAAAATTTAGATGTAGTCACTGAAATTAACATGAATCTGGGGTAAGTTTTCATAGAGAAGGTAACTTTGGGGCTAGAGTATGTGTTTGAGGAGAAAAAATAATGGATGCATGGAAAATAGCATGTACAAAGCCCAAAGATTGCTGAGTACACACACCTTTATGACTTTTACATACAACTCGTGCAGCTCTTGAAAGATGAAACTTGAAATGTAAGTTGACTTACATTCTAACAGTAGATGGGCTGTTAGAATGATTGGCTGTTACATACCAAACGATGTAGACCATTTGAGGATCTTTAGCTATTCATTGACACCATCAAATCTTTAGAGAGATCATTCTAGTGTAGATGATGGATTTCAGGAATGAAGGGAAAATCTGGAGGTTAGGTAACCAGGAAATTATTTTAATGGTGATACATCAGTAAGGTTGGAAACAATTAGATATATGTGTGAATTCAGTGGTAGAATCAATAATTTTGCTTGATGAGTTGGTTATGGAACATGGGCAAGAGGGACTTATTATGGGTGTGATTAGCCTGGACAAATAAAAGTACAGGAAGAGTCATTTCTTCTCTTAGTCTCTAATTTGAAGTTATATTAAGAACATGCTGATAATATGTCACAGTTATTGGAAAAACCATAACCTATTCAGACTACTTTATTGTGTAGCCTTCATTTTCACTTTTAAAGTAAGTCGAATTAATGAAAGTAAGTCATTTATGAGGCAGGAAAGTTGAGTTCTGTTAAAAAAACACCTCCTTTACAAAGTAAATTCTTACTTCTGGCTAGCATCAAGATTTGTGAAGAAGAATCATAAAAAAGAATAGCTTTAATTCAAGTGAGATCAAGACTATTTAAGTAGATACATAAACTGGCAAATTTAAAGAATACTAAAATTAAGCAATAAGAAGAATAAAAAGTACTCCATCTGAAGGCATTCTGATCTCAAGTAATTAAGGAATTAAACCAATTTTAAATGATTATAAAATTATGTTTTATTAAAAACTAGAGGCCCAGTGCACGGATTCATGCACCAATGGGGTCCCTCAGCCTTGCCTGCAGCCTCTCGTAATCCGGGACCCCTTGGAGGATGTCAGACTGCCAGTTTCGGCCCAATCCCCACAGGCCTGACTGAGGGGCTGAAACTGGCAGTCTGACATCCCCCAACGGATGTAGTAATGCACAAAGCAACAGGTGGCCGGAGAGGAGTCTAAGCCCAGGCCAGGCGCCATGCTGCTCCAGCTCATCTCAGCCCCGCTGTGCTTGCCGCTGCCACCATGTGGTAGCGCTGCCATGGAGGTGGGAGAGGCTCATGCCACCTCAGCTGCACTCGCCAGCCATGGGCACGGCATCTGGCACCCATCAGTCAGCTGAGCAGCGCTCCCGCTGTGGGAGTGCACTGACCGCCAGGAGGCAGTTCCTATGTTGAGCATCTGCCCTCTGGTGGTCAGTGTGCATCATAGCAACTGGTTGACCCGTCGTTTGGCCACTTAAGCTTATAGATAGATAGATAATTAAATTAAAATATTGATTTTACGTATGTTGGGATTTTATTCATAACTAAAGGCCTGGTGCATGACATTTGTGCACTGAGGGGGGGCCTCTCCAGTCTGGGACCCCAAGGGGTCCTTAATGCTGCCACAGAGTCGGGAGAGGCTCCCGCCACTGCTGCTGCCCTCGCCAGCCGTGAGTCCGGCTTCTGGCTGCGTGGTGTCCCCCTGTGGGAGCACACTGACCAATAGGGGCAGCTCCTGTGTTGAGCTTCTGCCCCCTGCTGGTCAGTGCTCATCATAGCGACTGGCCATTCTGCCGTTTGGTCAATTTGCATATTAGCCTTTTATTATATAGTACTAGAGTCCTGGTGCACGGACTTTATTTTGCACTCCCAAAATTTGTGCATGGGAGAGGGGTCTCTCAGCCTGGCCTGCACCCTCTAGCAATCCAGGACCCCTCAGGGATGTCCGACTGCCATTTAGGCCCAATCCCTATGGGCAGTTGGACATCCCTCTCAAAATCTGGGACCTCTGGCTCCTAATTGCTTGCCTGCCCACCTGCCTGACCACCCCTAATCACTCTGCCTGCCTGCCTGATTGCGCCTAACTGCTCATCTGCCTGCCTGCCTGATGGCTCCCAACTGCTCACCTGCCTGCCTGATCGCCCTTAACTGCCTCTGCCTGCCTGCCTGACCTCCCCTAACCTCTCTGCCTACCAGCCTAATTGTCCCTAACCACCTGTGCCTTGGCCCCCACCACCGTGGCTTCATCAAAAGGATGTCCGGAATGACATTCGGAAGGTTGTTCAGCTGTCCAGTCTAATTAGCATATTATGCTTTTATTATTATAGACTAGAGGCTTGGTGCATACAATTTGAGGGAAGGGTGTCCCTCAGTCAGGCCTGCACCCTCTCCAATCTGGGACCACTCGGGGGATGTCTGACTGCCAGTTTAGGCCCGATCCCTGCGGGCCTAAACCGGCAGTCAGACTCCCCCTTGCAATCTGGGACTACTGGCTCCTAACTGCTCGCCTGCCTGCCTGATTGCCCCTAACTGTCTCTGCTTGCCAGCCTGGTTGCCCCCTAACTATTCCCCTGCCAGCCTAGCTGCTCCCTAACTGCTCCCCTGCCAACCTGATCACCCCTTAACTGCCTCTACCTTGGCCTCTGGCACCGTGGCTTTGTCCGGAAGGATGTCCAGAAGACACCCGGTCTAATTAGCATGTTACCCTTTAATTAGTGTAGATAAGTTTTTCTTAGGGTGTTCCCCATGCATTTAAATATAAGTACAATTAAATGCAATTATTAAAAATAATACATATCATTTAAAAATAAAAATAAATGCAATTAAATAACAGTGGATAGAACTATAGAAGTGCAAATTATAATATTGATATGTATGCTGTTTGTCTATAGGTATTACTGGATTCAGTATTTCTTACTTGCCCTACACAGGTTTCTCCTCCATTCTTCCCACCCTCCCTCCATTCCTTCCCTCCACAGATACATATTGTATACCTACTATGTGCCAGCAATTGTATTAGGTGTTTGGGATATGATAGTGAACAGGAGAGAAAAGGCCCCTGACCTCACAGAGTTTACATTCAAGTAGGAGAGACTGGAAATTAACAAGCAAACATAAAACAAACCAAAAAACAGAACAAAACAAACATAATTTCAACAGTGCTGAGTCCTGTAAGTAAACAAAACAAGATAATGTCACACAGGGTAAAGGGGATACAGGGGAGGGCAGTTAGTGATATTGGATGGAAGAAAGCACAGCTGTTTTAGATTGGTCTAAGCAGACTTCCTGGAACAGATAAAGCTGAGACATAAATAGCAAGGAGAAAGCTCCTGTGCAGATACGGGAGATGAGTGCAGCCCTGCTCTGGCCCTAAGTTGAAGCGCTTAGTCTTAGGACAGGTAACAAGGGCCTGCGGGACTAGAGTTCAGTGGGAAGTGAGTGGTGGGACAGGCAAATAGGGCTCTGATGTAAGGCTTTGCAGGTTCGAGGGAAGAATTGGGATTTTATTTCAACTGTATTCAAAGTCCCTGGGATATGTTAAGCAGGGGATGAGTTAATCCAAGGCATCTCTGGTTAAACACCTGAAACCGGTTAGGAAAATATTACAAAAAGTGCAGGACTACTTCTGAACCTTTAACTTCAGCCACTGGATGGATGGTGGGCCATTTACTGAGATGGAGGTGCGTGAGGATGGGTCTGGGGGAAACTGAGAAGTTACCTTCTGAATCTGAAATATTTTAGAGACTTAATAGGCTTCCCCCTGGAGATATCAAGGAGGCAGTAAATGTCTGGATAGGACATTATTTTTCTGTAAAAAACATTTGCTTAACTTAAAGCAAAGCTTCTGAAGCCGATGGTTATTTGTTTAAGTTCCTTGGGGGATTTAAAAGGGACCACTCTCTAGTCCAGAAGCTAGACAGAATCATAAGGAAAGTTTGGTTAATGAAAAAAAAAAGACTTTTTTTTTTAACCTAAAACAATAAAGTAAGAATTTTTTAGGGGATTAGTGCCCATTTATTTCTCTTAAATATTGTTTATTTTCTAAACTATAATGAATCAACACTATTCAAATTACACAATATCTCTGGACTATTGTAAAGGAGATTAAATAGAACTTTCTTATTTCTTAGTACATCTCAAACAAGATCTTAAATAAGTCATAAAATCAAGACTAATAAGCATTCTCAGATGGCTATACAAGTTATTAATCATTTTATTAACCATATAAAAATAGTAACTGTCAAAGTATAGAACAGAACACAATCTGAACTATAAAAAAGAATATATGTGTCTCACCTATTTTTGTTTTTTTTCTTTGCAGATTGTGTATTTTAGTTCTCTGTCTCCATATGTGATACTTATATGTTTCCTAGTCAGATCACTCTTCCTAGAAGGTTCAACTTATGGCATCCGCCACATGTTTACCCCTCAGGTATGTACTTTGTTTCTATTTAAGACTTATGATCTTGAAATCATTATATTTGTTGTTAAAATTTTCCCACAGTTTGATTCCAGAGATAATTGTCCTAACATATATACATCAGGCTTTCAAAGTATAGCTGTTATGTTATCTAGCTTAGATAAACCAGAGATTTTATATGTCTTTAATTATCTCCATCTAGCTCCAATTTTAAATGTACCATTTTAGTTCTAGATTAAGGCTGTCACTATTGAAACTTTAACAATTTCTCTATTATATTAAATTGACTTCCAATTTCTATACTTGTAAATTTTAGAACTTTTCAGTCTTTATTTTTCTCCTTCTATTTCAGTGGGTTCTTAACATTTTGTGTCATGGATCCCTTTTAAAAAGACAATAATAGGAACTTCTTACCAGAGAACATATTCATTTTCTTATTGTGCCAGGAGGTGAACAAAACATATAAAATCCATGGACCCAGGTTAAATCCCTTCTCAGAGAAAATCAATCTTGTTTTGTTTTGAAATTTTGTACTTTATAAAATAATATTTACTTGGTGAGTTTTGTAAATAAATGTACATTTTAGGAAAATTCTCATTTGATTTCATAAAAGGCTCAGAACTTCAGTATGCTCTGTCATTCCGTTTAGTGCTGAACTCAATGCTGGGCACATTGAACACGCACAGCAATCTTTGTGGACCAGGTATTTTGATTTGACAGGAAAGAAAACCAAGTTTTGAGATGTATATTTATTTGGTTAGTCATGAAATGAACTTATACCCCACTATTACTTTGCTAATACTATTTAAGGCAGACAATTTCAAATTTAGGTCAGCAATTGGAAGTTACTTGAAGAATGATCATGGTGTTAGACTTGGGCAGAAGATACTAGCTTCCCAAGAATTATTTGTCACTTGAGATAGCTGCTTTGATACTCTGTACAAGGGGCTGTGTTTTTTAGGTATCTGGTTCTAACTTGGTATTCATTCTCTAGTAGCAAAAATATTGACATTGGTGTCTGGTGTTCTTGAGTGGTTCATAAGTCCTGTTTAACATCTATCATTGTTGGGACACTTCACTGAGTAACTAGTTAAGATTCATCAGTTTTGGCTACATTATAATGCAAATCACCTTCAAATGGGACATAACTTAGTGACCAACATTATTTATAATATTAAAAAAGAAAAGTGTTTTAAGTTTAAAACAACTAACTAGCTTTGGTATGACTTTCTGGCATATCACCTTTTTCTAAGTTGGCAATTGTTTGAGACATAATTCTCAATATTTGATTTAAATAGATATTTTGGAATTTAAACCCTTTGTTATGGCACTTTTTGCATGGCCCCTATATTCAAATCTGCAGCATTATTAACATTCTAAACCGGGTCTACAGATCACTTAAAATATAGTTAATTCTTTGTTCAGCTCACTTTTCATTGACTGTAGATAAGATTCTGTGTTAGTTCACTATACGGTGTGATAGTTGATATAATAACAATAAGAAGGTGTTAATTACTTTGAATTTACATTGCTTATATAAGGGAAAAGTACCTTAACACATGAAATATTCCCTAAACTGTGAATGGAGATTTAGTTCCTGAATTAGAAGTATAGCAATCTGAATAATGTCCTTAGTAAATAAGTGCTTTCTGCCACCTAGTGGGTGAAGTGGAGATAGGCAGTTGATTGTAGTAGTAGTAGATCAACACAGAATTAGTTAAGATAACAATGGTCAATAAACAATATGCCTATCTCAGTTAATTATACATACATTATAAGTATAATAATTATTATGTTATGAAAAAGTCATACATTTCAATAATAATAACTAAATGAATTGAACAATAAATTCTAATATTTGAGAGAACCATGGATTTTGTCATCTCTGAGTGTGTTCACATTTCTGTTCTACCCCAGAACTGCTGTGCAACCTTAGGCAGGTTCCTTAACCTTTCAAAGATGTAGATAATAGCAGCAACAATTTCATGGATTATTGAAAAGATTAAATCAGATTATATATATATAATCATCAATGTGCCTGCCACTGTAGTCTATATATGTTGGCAGTTTTTGAGCAGTGAGAGTGTGGTAGGCAATGTGGCAAGTTGTGTCTTATTACCCCCATGATTCAGCTAGGGAAGCAGAAACAGAAAGGACTGGCCACTTACCCTAGGGGGCACTATTTAGACTATTTGGATTATTAAGTGGCAGAATCAGTATCTGAAACTGTCCGTGGATTTCATGTTCTTACCTGTATTTGGCATTGCTCCCATGAAAGGTAGTTTCATCACAATTGTTAAAAAAAAATGCCAGTTAAAAACATTACTGTTACTGAAATCCAACTTAACTATTTATTGTGGTCTTTGACACATATGCCTAATATTAGTTGTTCCATTTGAAAGGTTTGATAATTATTTAAGAAGTAAAGCAGAGTTACTTGAAATACATGTTCAGCACAGATTCAGAACTTTAGAACTTTGGATCTGAAAGGGTCTTAGATATGATATGAGGTGTGGGCAAAAGTAGGTTTAATTTACCAGCCATCATTACTTAAAAGGTAAATCATAAGTAGGGATCTGAAATAATAGCAATAATAATAATAACAAGAAGACAAGTAAATAATACAATAATAAATAATGACATACGATTAAACTCTGCTTTGCGTACTCACAACTGTGAGTCTACTTTTGCCTACCCCTGTAGGTGCATTTCTCTAACTATGAAAAAGAAGGCTTTCAGGAAAATCTATTTGAATGAATGAATAATATATGAATTAACACATATGTGGATATGCAAAATACAAATAGTTTAATTCTACCATACTCATGATTAATATCTGCTTTGACTATTAGACTTCCACCAGAAAACACAAAACAGGGTTTTAGTTAAGTAATTATTTAACTTTTACTGATAATTGATTTATTTTGCTTTGGGAAGAAAACAAAGACATAAACAGGAAGTAATTGAAAATAGTTCACTTCTCTTTTAAATAGTCCTTTGATGATTTGTCTTAAAGTATTTAAAAATTTCCATGTAGATAGAAAATCTCTATGTAAGTAACATCTCCCTCTGTAAGCTTGGTCATCTATAGTATTTCTTGTTCATATTTCTTGTTTCATTTTCAAATGAAAAACCTATTATTTCTAATTAAGAACAGATTACCCCCCTAATTTAAATATTATGATGATATATTTAATCAATACAACTAATTCCATGTAGATTATTCTGAACTATTATTTTGAAGCTGATTTCTGTTATGTTTCATTTTAAACAGCTTGAAAAAATGCTGGAACCCCAAACCTGGAGAGAAGCGGCTACTCAGGTGTTCTTTGCCCTCGATCTGGGATTTGGTGGTGTCATCGCCTTTTCAAGTTACAGCAAGAGAGACAACAACTGCCAGTTTGATGCTGTGCTGGTGCCCTTGGTCAATTTTTTCACTTCTATCTTGGCCACATTGGTGGTGTTTGCAGTTCTGGGCTTCAAAGCAAACGTCATAAATAAGAAATGCATTGAAGAGTATGAGTATTAATTTCCTTTAGCATTTGATGGCAGAATTATATAGAAATTAAACCCCCCAAACTCTTAAGTGTTCATTAACATGTTGTTCTGTTTTTCAGAAATGCTATAATGATTGAAAAATTTTTGAAAATGGGCAACATTCCTCAGGCCATTATTCCCCCTAACATCAAGATTTCAACTATCACTGCAGAAGCTTATCACGAAGTTTATGACATCATCAAAAGAGTGAAAGGGGAGGAGTTTCCTGCTCTTGATCTTCGTTACTGTAAAGTTGAAGATGAGCTAAATAAAGTTAGTAGCTATATTTAAGCAATAAAATAGGTATTATTCAGTTAAAAGATTCATTCTCCAGAAGACATTTTTGGTTAGGAAAATGACCGTTACAGTTTTAAAATTTACATTCTTTATTTCAGAGGACAACTTTCTTAAATCATTAAAGGTTTCCTTTATTTTTTTAAATTTCTTTATTGATTAAGTTATTACATATGTGTCCTTATCCCCACATTACCCCCTCACCTCCCCCCCACTCATGCCCTCATTCCCCTGTTGTCTGTGTCCATTGGTTAGGCCTATATGCTTGCATGTAAGTCCTTTAGTTGATTTCTCCCCCTTACCCCCACCCTCCCCTACCTTCCTCTGAGGTTTGATGGTCTGATCGATGTTTCTCTGTCTCTGGATCTGTTTTTGTTCATCAGTTTATGTTGTTCATTATATTCCATAAATGAGTGAGATCACGTGATATTTATCTTTCTCTGACTGGCTTATTTCACTTAGCATAATGCTCTCCAGTTCCATCCATGCTGTTGCAAATGGTAAGAACTCCTTTTTTTACCGCAGCGTAGTATTCCATTGTGTAGATGTACCACCATTTTTTTAATCCACTCATCTACTAATGGGCACTTAGGCTGTTTCTAAATCTTAGCTATGGTGAATTGTGCTGCTATGAACATAGGGGTGCATATATCCTTTCTGATTGGTGTTTCTAGTTTCTTGGGATATATTCCTAGAAGTGGGATCACTGGGTCAAATGGAAGTTCCATTTTTAGTTTTTTGAGGAAACTCCATACTGTTCTCCACAGTGGCTGCACCAGTCTGCATTCCCACCAGCAGTGCACGAGGGTTCCTTTTTCTCCACTTCCTCACCAGCACTTGTCTTTTGTTGATTTGTTGATGATAGCCATTCTGACAGGTGTGAGATGGTACCTCATTGTTGTTTTGATTTGTATCTCTTGGATGATTAGTGACTTTGAGCATGTTTTCATATGTATCTTGACCTTTCTTCTGTCTTCTTTCAAAAAGTATCTATTTAGGTCCATTGCCCATTTTTTGTTTTTGATTGAGTTCTTTATCTTCCTTTTGTTAAGTTGTATGAGTTCCCTATAAATGCATGCAAAAAAATGAAACTAGGCCACCAACTTACACCATACACAAAAATAAACTCAAAATGGATAAAGGACTTAAACATAACATGGGAAACCATAAAAATACTAGAGGAATCCACAGGCAGCAAAATCTCAGACATATGCCGAAGCAATTTCTTCACTGATACTGCTCCTAGGGCAATGGAAACTAAAGAGAAAATAAACAAATGGGACTACATCAAAATAAAAAGCTTTTGCACAGCAAAAGAAACCATCAACAAAACAATAAGAAAGCCCACTGCATGGGAGAACATATTTGCTAATGTTATCACCGATAAGGGTTTAATCTCCAACATTTACAGGGTGCTCATACAACCTAACAAAAGGTTTCCTTTACTTTTAAAAGCAATTTCATTGATTAATCCACAGTAATTTAAAATATGAATATAAATGAAGTGATTTTCATCATATAAAATCAAATCAGCCTGATACCTTTCCTGGTATAATATTTAATATAAAAATTGTACCATGATTATCACATATTGCATGACTATTTTGATATATTAATAATTTTTGGTCATTTTAATAATTGTGTTCAACAAGTTATGATTAAATTCTTTTTCTTTGCCAGTGTAATGTATTTTAATAAATATAAAATAGATTAACACTAATATTCTTGTATTGCTTACCACCTTTTCCCTGTATTGTCAAAAATAAAGTGTCATAGAGAAATTAGCCATTAATCACTTGATTTAAGATACTTGAGCCTAACATAAAGTATCATGTGCAGCATGATCTCACTCATATGTGGAATCTAAATAACAAAATAAACTGATGAACGAAGTGGATCCAGAGACATAGAAGCATGGAACAGAGTGCAGAATCTGGAAGGGAAGGCAGGGGAGGGTGGGTGGGTGGGAAGTAATCAACCAAAGACCTTGTATGCATATATGCATAACCCAGGGACACAGACAACAGGTGGTCAAGGCTGGGGGTCGGACTGGGTGGGCTGGAAGGGGTCAATGGGGGAAAAAGTGGGACATGTGTCATACTTCCAACAATAAAGAATTATGTAAAAACAAACAAAAAATAATATCCTCCTTGTTCAGCAGAGTGAAGGGCACTCATGGCTGCGGGATCAGGGCCTCCTGTGGCATGATTATGTCACTTCCTGATCCCATGCAGCCCTCTCTCACAGAGCATGTAGCTTTGGGAGGGAGGGCTACTGTGGTCCTTGGTCCCCTGTGCCCTCCTGACATGAGGTCTCATGCTTGATCTGACCCACCCTTTCAAATCCCCTATTCACTCCTAGTGATTTTCTGCTAGGACCCTGCTTCCAATCTTCCTTGAGCCAAGCATCCAAGGGCTGGCATGGGGGGAACTGTTACAGAGCTGGTTAGTCAGATGTACATGTCAGGATAGGTCTGAACATAAAAAAAAAGAATCATGTGCAGAAAATTATGGAAAAACTATATATATATATATATATATATATATATATATATATATATATATAGTTTTATATACATATAAATATATATAAACCTAATATAAACCTATATATATCTAATATGCTAAGGGTCTGACCAATTGGTCTACCATTTGGTGCATACTGACCACCAGGAGGCAGACGCTCCAACCCGTAAGGTTAACTTGCTGCTGGGGTCCAGCCAATCAGGACAGGGTAAGAAGGGCTGGACACGCCCTGGAGCCTTCCTGTGGTTCCTCCCCAGCTGGCCAGCATCTTGTGTTCCTCCCCAGCTGGCTGGCCCCCATTGGCCTGGATTGAGACTGGGCAAGAAAGACCCAATTGGCCCCAGTCGCTGGCCAGGCTGAGGGACCTCACACATGCACGAGTTTGTGCACCTGGCCTTTAGTCAATAATATAAAAATCTTGAATCCTGTAAGGAAAGACAATCTTAGCCTTTAAAGGTGTTTTGTTGTTTTTAAATTCTGGTTTATTTGTTTTCTTTATGAGATAAGACAATCAACTTGTTAGTTGAAAGGCACAGTTTCTTAGGAGACAATGTGATTCTGCATGTTTATTTCCAGTCCCTCAAGGCATTATTCAGAGTTTCTCTTCTTTGTAACTGATGTATGTAGCCATCACTTAAAATTGCTCTGTATTCATGTTGTTATTCTGTCTATTTTACAGGAGGTTGAGGGAATTGGTTTAGCTTTCATTGCCTTTACAGAAGCGATGACACATTTCCCTCTAGCTCCCTTGTGGTCAGTGTTGTTCTTCCTCATGCTGATAAATCTAGGCCTCAGCAGCATGTTTGGATTCATCGAAGGGATCATCACGCCTGTGGTGGACAGTTTCAAAGTGAGCAAAGAATTGGTTACTGGTGAGTTTTTATGTACTTGACTTTCCATTGACTGATACAGGCCATTTTACTCTTGGTGTTGTTTGGGGTTTTATTAATGTCTATTTGTAAATATGTATTGCTAATATTTGTTATTTTTTATATAACTGTATAATCATATAACTATGTAATGTATAATTGCAAATGATAGACTTAATACATCATACTATTAGTGAATATTTTTACATTGCTCTTAATTAATAGTAATGTCATCATGAATTACTGTCACTAGAATAAAGTCATAGATTGTTTATGTATTAATTTGTATACAAGTCAAATAATTAACTATAGTAAGGTGGCTCAGACTTCAAATTCCTTTCCCAAATTTTCTAAAATTGATAAATCCAAATTTCTAGTGTAGAAGAAGTTGTGGTCTACTAGTAGTTCATAGTTCTAGTAGGAAAGCAAATAAAACAACTTATCAATATCGATGCTTGTTAATAAGCCAATCTGCAAGCACTTAGTAAAGTACCATTTTGAACTGCATTTGAAGGATGTAAAAGATATGAGAAATTATAACAGAGAAACAAAGATATAGGCAAGCCACTTCTCCAAAAAAACAATTGTATTGTTAATTAAAAGCAATCTGGGTAGATAAAAGACTTGTACCATGTAATATACTTATAGGTAGCATAATAGAGACTTTACATGTCATACAAATTAAGAAGAAACAAAAGTCATCTTGAATTTGAAAGAGGAGAGGTCTTCTCACAGGTCAGAGGATGTAGCACATGGAGAGCTAAAGAGAACAGTGAGGAAGCCAACCAGACCAGCGTGCAAGAACAGTGTTGGGAAGTGATGCAAAAATAAATTGGCTAAAAAACATGTAGGTGATCTTGAATGCTGGGCAGTGGTGCACAAGCTCCCTGAGGTTCTGTGTTTAGCTCTGAAATATTTCAGTAATATTTTATGTGTAAATAAGTCTCAAATATACACCTTTACCACTTACTGCTCTGCTAAGTGTGTGTGTGTGTGTGTGTGTGTGTGTGTGTAAAGCAATTTAAGCAGTTCCTTAAATATTGATACTAAATATCCTCCACTCAGCTGAACAAAAATGAGAAACTTCTTTATCTTTATCAAAAGGCAGTTTCTACTTCTTCAGTTTCTATTCCACTTAAGGCTATTGATATTCTGCCTGATGTGCAGGCTAAATAACAGCCATCTTTGCTGCTTTCCTCGTCTTTGTCTCATAGCCAAAGCCCGTGAGGTAAGCGGGCTTGCAAATTCAGGAAAAAGCAACAGTGTAGAGGGAAGAACACACATGGTAGTGTCTGCTGCCTACTGGGAGACCTATTTGGGCAGAGCAAAGGGAATGTATTCTCTTCCCCCATTACCTGTCTTTGGGATCATACCTGTATTCAAGTTATATTTGACCCCAATAAAGTGATCCTCCATCAACTTTGCCAGATGTATTTTTGTCTTCTCTAGTGGAACAGTGAGATTTAAATAAGTGAATCCCCTGTGATCTTTTCATCTCACATCTCCAGCAAAACTCTGTCTGTACCACCTAGAATTCACTTTCTTCACGTTTGCCTTATACTGTGGTGTAATTAGGAGACAGTGGAAGTGACACAGACTATGGTCCATATTCAAGCTTTGCTACTTCCATCCTGAGACTTTTAAGTACAATATACTGTGACAAGCATTTAAACATTTCAATATATGATAGATTCCAAGTATAGTACATGTTACTTCTCATTATATATATATATATATATATATATATATATATATATATATAATTTGTTTATGTATGGTGCAGCTCATAACCCTAGCATAGTGCTTCAGAGATGGCCTAATATGACCCATACCTGTTGACATTGTTGGAAACCCCATCTTCAAACCCAGGGATTTCTGTGTTCTCACCTTCTTTTGCTTTTGCTCACTTCTGTTAAAAGGTGGTTGACAACTAGAACACAGTCATCTTTTATTTTTGAGGGTTTCTCTACTAATGTGCATGAGAGAATAAAAAGTCAAACAAAACTATGGTAATATTATATGGATTCCAGAAGTTTCTCTAAGTTTTTATATTAATGGTCAGAAGTTTCTCTATCTTTTTCAGATTCTAGTGCAGAAATTTCTTTTAGGTGGTTCTTCTTAGGTTGGATAATCAAATTGCTCAACCCTGTTATAATTGTACTAGAGGCCCGGTGCACGAAATTTGTGCATGGAGGGGGTGTTGCACCCTTTCCTATCTGGAACCCCTTGAGGGATGTCCGACTGTCAGTTTAGGCCCGATCTCTCACAATCCAGGACCGCTGGCTCCTAACCACTCACCTGCCTGCCAGCCTGATCACCCCCTAACCACTCCGTTGGAGGCTTGATCGACGCCTAACTGCTCCCTTGCTGGCCTGATCATCCCCAACTGCCCTCCCTTGCTGGCCTGGTTGCCCACAACTTCCCTCCCCTACCGCGTGAGGCGGCAGAGACACTGGTACTGGCATCCACCATGCCGCATGGAGCTGCAGAACCCCCAGGTCTCACTGTGCAGAGCAGCTGCCAGGTCCCATCTCCGCTATGCACATGCTATCTTGTGATGCCATCTTGTGACGACGTGAGGGTGTGACGACCACCTAGGCTTTTATTAGTATAGATTCCCAACTGGTCTGTTAAGCAATATCAAAATATAGATTTGGGTTGGTGCTAAGGCAAGGCCTGCTAAGTTTTTTTAGTTATGCTTTAAAAATAACCAGACTTCAGTAAAATATAAAACTATGTATTTTATCACAATTTTATTATAAGCTGCATTACTCTCATTATTAATGCAGAAATTCATAGCTTCCAAAACTATAAAATGAGATTAAAACTAGGAATGACCACCCAGTCGATGTGGCTCAGTGGTTGAATTCCCAGTCAGGGCACATGCCCGGGTTGTCGGCTTGATCCCCAGTTTGGGGTGTACAAGAGACAGCAGATCAATGATTCTCTGTCATCATTGATGTTTCTATCTCCCTATCCCTCTCCCTCCTCTCTGAAATCAATAAAAACATATTTTGAAAATACGTAAGAATGACCTATGAAAATTTTCTGCTGGAAAAGTTCACTTTGCTCTTAATAAAGAGAAGAAAGGCATGGGGATTTATACTTTTAAAATCTTCACAGTTTTACCTCATTTATTATTTGTGCTTGGTAAGTAAGTTTGCATAGACTAAGGGAGATGGTTGTATTACTCTCTAACAATGAATTTATATTAAATGTGTGCTAAATCCAGGTAACTATTACCACTATGTAATGTTCCACAATATTAAGAAAGGTATTGCCTATGCATATTATTGACAAGTTATAAAAGTGAAAACAAAATTATATTTTGAATATAGTAAATCATAATACGACTTAAAATACTTGATTCTAAATAAGGGCTTAATTTTTTCATTTATTCCTTTTGTCCAGTTATTTGTTGTCTTCTGGCATTTTGTGTTGGTCTGATATTTGTGCAACGTTCTGGAAATTACTTTGTTATAATGCTTGATGGTTATTCTGCTACGCTGCCGCTTCTAATTGTAGTCATTTTTGAGAATATTGCTGTATCCTTTATCTATGGAGCAGATAAGTAAGTATATTTTCATCTTTATTTTGGAAACACCAATTGACATTATCTATTTAATTTAGAAGGGGAGAAAAATGATTAGAGGGGAAAATACCACAAACAAAATCTTTTGAAGGCTCTTCTTTATTTAACAATTTTAATGAAGTATATTCGCCTATTAGTAATTAGATCGAATTGTGTAGATGGTAATATAGTCTAGGATTCTGGAGCTTGGATTTAATACAGGTTGTCAAATAGAAACGTCCAAGATCTAGTGGCTATTTTCCACAAACCTTATTGTTTTGAGTTATTGTTATCTATGTTTTACAGATGAGAAAACTCAGGCTCAGTGAGATACCAAGTGACTTGCTCATCAAACCTGCCCAGAGACAGACCTGGGACTCATAGTCATTTCTGCTTAACTCCCAGCCTATGCTCCTCATTACTTTGCTGACCTGTTTCATGAGAGGAATTTCATTTTTTTTTATATTTTATTGATTTTTTACAGAGAGGAAGGGAGAGAGATAGAGAGTTAGAAACATCGATGAGAGAGAAACATCGATCAGCTGCCTCCTGCACATCACCCACTGGGGACGTGACCGCAACCAAGGTACATGCCCTTGACCGGAATCGAACCTGGGACCTTTAGGTCCGCAGGCCGACGCTCTATTCACTGAGCCAAACCGGTTTCGGCAAGGAGGAATTTCATTTTTTATGCTACATAATGCCTTGTGTAACAGGCCAATTTTGGGAAAATACAGGGTGTCCCCCAAAAATGTATACACAGTTTAATAGCTGATAGCTCAATTTTGAGAATGAAATGTATTTTAATAAACACTGCCTTTATAATTATCCAAAGTGTGTGTATACATTTTGGGGACACCATATATGTACTGCTCTGAGATATATATGGCATTTGATATACACAACTTCATATTTATATGGAGTCATTATTTGAATTCACTAGATGCCTTTAACCTCTGAATTATATACCTGCTTGATGTGAGAGGTGTATATACTTGCTGTGAGATGAAGCATGAGAGTAATCTCAGAAGAAAAATGTTCCTGGAGGCATTTTTGGCAAAATATTGTCCATTTTTTTAAGTTTCTGTCTTTAGTGAACATGTATAGACTAAAGCAATAAGATCATCAAGCTTATTAGAGGTCTGTGTAAAGTAGGAATGTGTGTTGAATGAAGACCAGAGCCCTCTTACACATCACAGAGAGGAACATATTGACATTGAATAAGCTTTGTGAGAATGTTTTCATTACTGTCAAAAGCTCCAGGTAAGGGAACTTCCATTTTGTAGTCATGTACTAGATAGCAATAGTAGCAATGGCTGTCTGACATGCACTGATTCTTAAACTTCATAAAAATACTCTGTGGTAACTAATAGCATCCATGTCACATGGAGAATGTGCCCTCCTGTACAGAAGGACTTACTACATTAGTTGTAGAGCTAGGACTTTAACTTTGACTTTAATTTCAAAACCAGCCATCTGGACACTCTATCAAGCTACCTACAAGTTCTAACCTGCATTGTATTGAAATTTGATAAAGTATTGATGATGTTGTGTTCATAGAGTAGGAAGTCATCAGTAGAAGGAGACATTTCAGTAGTTGGCTAAAGAGTGCTTTACCTAAATAAAAATTACAGTATGTATTTAACTGGTTCCATTTTACTTTATATGATCTTAATTTATGTCATCTTCCAGTGTAACTTTTTGATAAGTATAAAATGTCATATGGTATCATGTCTAATTCCCTGTCAAATCATTGGTCTAATGCACATTTATAAGGTAATACATAAAATTGAGAAATAATTGCCTTCTTTTTATTTAGATTTATGGAAGACCTAAGAGATATGCTGGGCTTTGCTCCCTACAGATATTACTACTATTTGTGGAAATATATTACGCCTCTAGTGCTATTATTCCTGCTAATAACTTCTACTGTGAATATGATATTAAATCCTCCTGGCTATGATGCATGGAATAAAGACAAGGTAAAATACAAAATAAGGAAGTTTTTACCTTTTGCTTTCTTCACAGTATATTTTACTATTTAATGACTGGTGTTGCTTTTATGCAAAAATCTTGAGATTTATGTTTTGTTCATTCCCAAACATATATGATTTTTTTATACATTGTAGATTTTTATACATTGTAGATTACATCAAATATTAATTTGGTTCTCATTAAAGTAGCTTTATTCATGTCACCACATAGATGAACCAATGATTATTCAGCCTTGAACTAGAAAATATATTGCTCAAACCACCAGAAATATTTTCCCTTACAAATGTATTAAATCATATCCCAGATACTATTTTCTGATGAAAAGATGCATCAACCATATAGATACAATGTAAACAACTGTCGAAGTAATATTTTGTTATAACTATTTTATATTAGCAATGACTATTTCAGTTCTGTCTTCAGGCTGCATTACCCATATCATAATGCAACCATTATGTATACATGGGATGTTATAAAGTTAGAGTGCTTATTTTTCAGGAGTATTTCTGACCTTTATTCTATGGTCAATAATTCTATATAGTAACAACTGAATTCATGGCGAGGCATAAACAAGTCTGTTATCCCTCACCAAAACCCCAGAAATGTGATAAAATTTAGATTTCAAAAGTCAATATGGCATATGTAACAGGTATCTATTGCTTAATAACAAACTACCTCCTCAATGTCACAATTGAAAGCAATGCTGATTATTCTTTCTTGGGTGCTATGGGTGAGCTGGATGAGTCTTCTTTTGTTCTTGCCTGAGCTAACTCATGCAGTTGATTAAACTTGAAGAGCCAGAGTCTCTCTGTAATTTTTTATTCTTGGCTTCTTCCAACTAATATGACTTATGGCAGCATTCTATGACATGAGCAGAAATTGCAAGGCCTTTAAGGTCTAACCTCGAAGTTGCTTAATTTCACTTCTAAGCCATTCTATTGGACATAGTAAGTCACAAGAACAGGTCGAATACTTTGCTTACAAACCTGAGACAAATATAATATTTTTTTCCATACTTGCAGGGAAAATAGATTATTAATACATATTTTGGTGTTAACAGGCATCTAAGGAATTTCTGAGATATCCAACGTGGGCAATGGTTATCTGTATATCTCTGGTAGTCGTAGCACTCCTCCCCATCCCGGCTGTCTTCATCATCCGTTGCTTCAACCTTATGGAAAACAGTTCCGGTAATTTAGCCTCCGTGGCCTATAAGAGAGGAAGGGTACTAAAGGAGCCTGTAAACTTAGAGGGAGATGATGCAAGCCTCATTCATGAAAATTCAAGCGAAATGTCATCTCCAAATTTGGGTAAAAATATTTATCGGAAGCAGAGTGGATCACCGACGTTGGACACTGCTCCCAATGGGCGATACGGAATAGGGTATTTGATGGCAGATGTGGCAGATATGCCAGATCTGCCCGAATCTGACTTGTAGCTGGGGGCGGGGGTGTTGGATCAGGAGGGTTTATTTTGGTTAATTGGTATCACTGAACATTGTCTTCATGAAGAGAGAAGCTTTAGGCCTCACTTATCAGAGGGCATCTCAGGTGTCCCCTGGCTGTGATCTTTAACACGAACAGTGTATGCAAATTCAGCTGGTGTGTTCCTTTGGGTTCTCCAGTTTACATTCGCACAGGAAGAGTGGCAGACAAAGCTTACAGGGACTGAGGTTCACGTTTGTCAGAATTTTTAAAAACACTTTTGGTGATTTTTTTCAAGTATTTCTTTCTCTACAAAAACAGGTGTTACCTCAGTTTCTAATAATTTCTGGATGAAATGGCATTTGCAATTCAAAAATGGTGGACGCACTTTAAAATGCATAAGTTTGCCTTTAGGGTAACTCCCAGCATTACAATGAACAGTTCTGTAAGTTGGTGCCTCTCAGCACATTTCTGTGACTATTTTGTGTAGATAGGCTGTACTTATTTTGGTTGCATTGATACCTTGTCAGGCAATTAGTTGAAGAAAACTGCAAAGTATTTTCTTATGTGATTGCTGTATAGTGCAATAGTATCAAAGAATAAGAAGGCACTGATGTTGAGACGAAAAGTTATATTCAGGATCATGTGTATGATGGTTGTATATTTTGTGTGAAATATGTGTGAAAATGACATAAGTGTGAATCACTTAGCACTCTCAAGAATTATGCAGATTCTGCATTGTTCTATGCCGTGTGCCTAAAAAACCTACTTGATGTTTATTGTGGATTCAATATTACTCATAGTATATTTATACAATATACTTGCAGTGTATATAGATGTATATTAGTATTCTAAGTACTGATTTAAAAACTTGAAGCAAGATGGCATTTTATTTCATATCTTTCTGTTTTGCTTCTGTTTTCTGCAAATATGAATCCTTTTTTAAGTGATTGTTAAAATTGTACGGCATTACATTTTAAGCTACAAATAAAATTTAAAAATGATATTTGTTTTTCACATTGATTTTTCTTGTATCACTTGAACTGGATTACTTTGCATTTCAGTCAACACTTAGGAATTTCATCATAATTAGCCATCATATTTCAAGTAGGATCAATATATGATTAACAGAGTTACCACTACTTTGGAGACAACAGCAAAGTAGAGTATTACGGTGAAATGGTGTTTTGATGTGGTCCCACAATTCTTGAAAAAAATACTTGTAGTCTCCCAGGAAACCACATGTACAGTTGGCAGCTTGCTGGTCAGTATTATCTCAGAAGTATAAAATATTATGGTGATTTTTATGAAACTGTTGTATATATGAAATTAGATGAAGCAGGAGAACTCCACTGAGTACCATCTCATTAAAAGGCTTTTATTTATAACTATAAAAATATATTAGTTGTATTTTTTAAATTATGGCTAAAGCAGCAAAAAATGGGAGATAGTACCGCATCATATCCATTGATTCCTCTTTGCCAAATATTCTTGGTCTGCTATAGGCATATATTATAGACTGCATAATATTTTATACTTCTGAGTCTCTCCTTTTCGTTTATTTTCATTAGTCTGTTCTTCAGCTACCCATTCATTTATTTATTTGCTCATCCTTTCAGCATCTATTCACCAAGAATCTATCTTATTCTCAGTGGTAAGCCATGCACCACTGTAAATAGAATATGAATTATCCATCTTTTCCCCAGTTTCTCTCCTTCCTCACGGACACCCCTTCCCCACCCTTTCCCAGGCAGTGTAGTATTTAATCAGTGAATGGTAGTATGAATTATTCTCCTCTGCACTTTAAAATTTGAGGCTACTTGTTTTTGTATTACTTTCCACTACTTCTGTAAACTATGGTGTACACTTGCCCCTGAACATAACATAGCCAAGTATTGTGTATCTTCAAATATAAAGGCAGGCTGGGGAGTGTGCAGGAGGGCTGATAGTGTGTGCAGAGTGGAATATAAGAACAATAGAGAAAAAAATTACTATTATATATTAGAGTCATAATGTGGGAGTCTAACATATTGGTGCAATGAAGTCTTAGGATGTAATTTTGTGAAAGTATATTTGCATTTCCATGTGTCTCTGTTTATGTGCATTTTTAGACAGAAGTTTATTTTTTCATTTAATCTTCAAATATGTACAAGATTTCAGAAAGTTTAAGATAAAGATACAGTGTTATTAATTACTAGAGGCCAGGTGCATGAATTTGTGCACGGGTGGAATCCAGCTGGCCCACCCTAATCGGGGTCAGGGGAAAGGATGTGGGAGGTTGGTAGTTGAACTCCTGGTTGGTCAACTCCTGCCCAAGGGGACAATTTGCATATTAGCCTTTCATTATTTAGGATAATTATGCTTTTGAGTTGCCTGTGCCCTTTCTGTATATTTTAAACATACTGAATTGGAATCCTTTTAGAATTGGATGCAGGACATGAATATTTTTTTAAAAAAAACACATATTGTAATGTTAGTTAGGTACCACAGGAATGAAAAAGATAAAAAGAAGTACAAGTAAAATATGAAACCGGGTTGTCTTGAAAGAGAAAGAAAACAACAATGTGAAAACTGTGATAACGGGTGAACACCATTTGGTGGATAGAAGCTGGAATTTAAAATAAACCCTTTGAAAGTAAAATATCTTTCTCCTTTTGATTTTGTTCTGGTCACTGTGTTTCCTGAACAATCCCAAAGAGATTCCTATTTATCTTGATTGACTATGAATAAAATCAATAGCAATCACATGGATTTTTTCCCCATACACTTTAGTTGTAAATTGTTTGAACCGTAATGTATTGACAAAAAGAAAAAAACCATAAAACTCTAGAAAACTGTTGGAAATATTAAAGATAACACTTTCCATAAGCTATCCATTACTGAGCATAGCACATTTTTACCTTTATAACTTAGAACCGAAGTAAAATGTTCCATATGTTATTTTGCCTCAAATGACTGACTCCAAAATTGGCTGATTTACTAGTTATCCTGATATGCATTCCCACCTAAAACATTGCCTTAAGAATGCTTATCACGTGGAGGTAAAAGAGAAAAGGTGCTGAGACATTATCTCGTCCTAAAATCAATGTCTTTTGAATTCTACTAATGTTTTAGCATACCACAGTGATTCCTGGCACCATCATCAAAACACACAGATGTATGTATTACCACACCACCACCACCAAAAACAAAATACCTGATTTATATGAACAGCAAGAAATGTGCCATGTGGTGCCTAGACAATGCCATATGTGCCGCCATGTACATAAAAGGAGCCATGCCTGTAGATTAATGGTGATATCTCAGCTGCTATTCTGTTTCCACTGATGGCCTTTTCAGGGCATATTCAGTTGTGTACTAAGGAAGGTAAAGGTTCTTTAGAAGAGACTGACGTATTTCTAAGAATACAGTTTTCTCAGTAAAAAAGAAACACATTAAAAGGGCTGCAAATATATCTCATTTTACTGTTCTTTAAAGGAATGCTTATAAAACAAGCAACCAAAAAAAAAAAAAAGAAGAAGCAGAACATGATACCCCAGAGCACCCCAATCTGAAATGAATGAGTAAACCTTACATTTGTGAGCATGGTAGCAATGATGACATTCATTTTATCTGTTCATCACAAGCAGTTACCCATATTATTATGCTTTTTAAAATGGGTTTTTATTGATTTTGGAGAGAGGAAGGGAGAAGGAGAGAGAGATAGAAACATCAATGATGAGAGAGAATCATCTATCAGCTGCCTCCTGCATGTCCCCTACTGAGAATCAAGCCTGCAATCTGGGCATGTGCCCTGACCAGGAATCAAACCTTGACCTCCTGGTTCATAGGTTGATGCTCAATCACTGAGTCACACTGGTTGGACTTTACCCACATTATTAACCAGATACACCAAATTCATAGATGCAGAGGCCTGGCCTATATTCATTTCTCCAAAGATCTCTCTTTTGTCAGTAATATGTTTTTTTCCCTTTCATTTTAAGGTTTGCTTTATTTTAGGTAAATATTTAAATGATCAAATTGGGAGATTTGAGGTCAGTTAGATTAAAACTGGTAGAATTAAACAATGAAGATAGTTTTTCTGAGCAAGAGAGGATCTGGATGGTCCAATCTCTGGGGGGAAAAAGCAAGTAGAAATTTATTGATTGTCTGCTTTCTTAATAGACATTTGGGTAGAATTATTTTAATTAAGCCTTTCTGTAAATATAAGAGATTTAATCATCTCAAACTTTTTTTTTAGATGCTGTAGATAGTAATGCAATGTCAATGTAGAATACCAACCAACAGGCCATTTTGATAGGGGAGGGGCATGTAATAGTTAAAGAATCACAGTTGTTTTATACTTATTCACATAGAAAAGAGATTTTTCTTACAGACCCTGGGAAACTGAAGGATGTGTCACCAGAAGGAAATCAGGGACCAGAGACAAGGATATCTCAAAGCCCAGATGAGCCGGACACTGAAAAGAAGATACCTGTTATGCTCGGATCAAGGGTAGAACCTACCTGAGAGGAGACAGCGTCCCGGGGCTATCTTTGCAAGGACAATGATAGAAAGAAGGCCCTGGGAACTCCCCAGTTTTAGATTTTTTTACCCACCCTCTAACCTTATATAAACACTGGCTTGAAATGAAATGTCAGAGCAGTCTTTTCAAAGTATTACACCTGCCGCTCTCTCAGATGGCCAGTCATCTGAATAATAAAAAGCACCACAAAGATTCAACCTTGTCTCTACTTATTCGAGTCTGGTATTGATGGGTAGCAGGATCCTTTCGTGTCCAGTTTCAATTTGAAATAGAAACATTTACTCTCACTTTTTTTAGCCAAGTGTGGTCACCAATAAACTGATTCTAGAACTTAGATTCAGTAGAATAAATCTAATTATTTACATAGTATATACACATCATATGGAATTTATTCTATAGTTTATTTTCACCTCATAGTCACACCTAATATCCATGCAATATTGAGGGTTTTTTTTTCATTCAAAACTTTTTCACTTTGATTTTTCCCCCACCTCTTCATAAAATATTTATATTCAAACAAATCCCAATTCAAACGAGTTACCCAAACAAGTCCCATTTCACAAACTACCTTCCTATTGAAGTTTACAGATGGACTACAAAAACAACATGCTTTTTTGTCATCACTTTGTGGTTAATTTACTTCTTTTCTTTTCAAAACTGCAGTAGTTCATATCCTAAACTTAAATTTGTAAAATATTTTAATTTTTCAAATTCAATTTATTTAAATAACACTGTTAGAACTAGTTCTCTATTTTCAGGCAGAGTCAGCAAAACGCCTCTAGGATGGGGTTGATTGATAGAAAAATCACTTTTTGGGGTATTTCCCCCATAAAAGTACACTTTCTAATACATACAATGATGACAAGCTCTAGTTTAGAAATTTTTCCTTGATTTTGCCATGAAATGAAAAAACAAACAAAAACTTGACATT